AATGGCATCCAACAGATTGGGAAGGAATATGATTTCATGGGGCTGTGATTTCTTTCTTTACATTATTTTTATTTGGTGTTAACAGGATAGTGTTGGATTTATTAAGTATACTTTTAGGTGTTCTTTGTTGAATAGTTGATAGAATTCACCACTGTAGACTTCTGAACCTGTTCTTTTCCCAGTTGGAAGGACCAGGATCCTCCTGTCTCTGCCTCCCAGTGATGGGATGACAGGTGTGCCCCACCATACCCAGCTTTTTACATGGTGCTGGGGATCGGAATTCAGGTCCTCATGATACATAAGTTATCATTTTCCATTTCAATAGCCATTTGTTTATGAAGAAATTTAAGCTGTTAAAAATAGGAAAACCAACATTTACTGTTGTTTTTCATTTCTAGAACTCTGTAGTTATTTCCTAAATCTAATCTTCCTTTAACATTTCTTAGGATGCAGGTCTTCTAGTGACAAATTTCATTACATTTTATGAGTCTAAAGAAGTCTTTATTTAGCCTGGTTAGCTGTTTGTGGAAAGGCTGATTATTGTACAATGATTTGGTATCCTCCAACTTTTTGTTCAAAGTCATCCTCTAAGTAGCAAACCCAGGGTTTGGTTTGCACTACACTTAGCATGTATATACTATTAGGCGTCTAGTACTTTTCTTTTTCTTTCTTTTCCTTTTTTTTTTTTTTTTTTTTTTTTTTGTCTTTTTGAGACAGGGTCTCCCAGTAGCTCCAGCTGGCCTTGAACACAAAGATCCACTTGCCTCTGTCTCCTGAATGCTGGGATTAAAGGTCTGTGCCATCATGCCCTGGGCTGCTTCTTTTCTTAACTATGGTTCAACCTCACCTTTGGGCTCCGGTCCAGAAGACCAACATTTCCCTCATTTCTCCTTTAAGACCTCCTCTTCTGGCAAATGCTATTTTCTAAAGTCAAGGGAACATAGCAATGGCCTTGCCAGCTTTTTTGCTTGTAGAACCCCCCTCCCCCACACACATACACATACAAATTGTGTGTACTGCAGGTTTGCCTGTGTACATGTAAGGGAACATAGCAATGGCCTTGCCAGCTTTTTTGCTTGTAGAACCCCCCCCACACACACACACACATACACATACAAATTGTGTGTACTGCAGGTTTGCCTGTGTACATGCATAGAAGTCAGTGGAGGGTATCTGTGTACTCCTATTACTTTCTGTTTTATTCCTTTTAAGGCAGGATTTCTCACTGAACTTGGTCCTTGTGTTCTTTTGGCTAGGCTAGCAGGGAGCAAGCCTGTGTTCCTTCTGTCTCTGCTCCCCTCAGCACTGGGCACTGGGTTTTAAGGGGGCCAGGCCTAGCTTGTTACATAGGTGCTGGGATCTTAAGACATCTTATACTAAGTGTTCACATTCCTTATTCCTCTTCTGAGAAATCTTTCTGGATAAGGTCCAGTTCTTATATCTTATATGTAATGAGTAACACAATACCAAGCACTCAAAAAAATTTCATAAATGAATATATAACTGCATAGATGAGACCCAAGGCCCCAAACCCATTTCTATACACAACAGGAAAGAAAGGTAAAATATATTTTTTTT